CTCCTTATGTAGGCAGTCCTCTAGCTGCTTTCTCAAATCTCTTCTAAGTTCAATGTCTCCCTCTCCAAATTCTCCCCCATCTTCTCTAGAGTCCAAGCTTTCAATTTGGTCCATCAAAGCTCTCTTTCATTCTTCTAACCTCCCAAACTCTAAAAGATTCCACTCCTTAATCTTTGCTTTTAAAAATTATTATTTCTTATGGAATCTCATCCCCTCCCATTCCACCATTGGGTTACATTCGTACCACCACTCTCTAACTCTCTCGGTAAACCTAGGATGAAGTAACCACATATTTTCAAATATAAAAGGGGCAGGGCCACCACTCCTTCTTTCCTCCTTGCCTATTACTATGGGCCAATGATCAAAAGTCATCCTAGGGAGATCTCTAGATGCCAAATTTCCCCAATGTTCTTCCCAATCCAAGGAGAACAGGAATCTATCCAACTTGGAACAGATGGGCCTAGATTGGAGATTGGACCAAGTAAAAGTCTTATGGGCTAGGGGTATCTCCTTGAGCTCAAAGGTACCCACAAACCTGTAAAACTTCCTCATACTAGTTGTCACCCTCTGATTGGTCTTGTTGGTTTCCTCCGAGTATCTGATCACATTGAAATCTCTACCCACACAAGGGTCCATCCCATAGCCCCCTAACATCAGCCAACTCCTCCCACAACTCCTGTCTCTCTCTGTAATCATTTGGTCCATCCCACAACCCCCTAACATCCTCTTGTTGTTTGAACTTCATAGAAACTGAATGTCTTCCAATCAATTCCTCCAAACCATCAACCACATCCCTCTTCCACATTGTTACTATCCCTCCTGATGCACCCCACGAGGGAGCAGCCACCCAACTAATCCCTCTAGCTTTCCATACGCTTCTTGCCCATCTATTATTAAACTCCATTGTCTTGGACTCCTGCAATAGTACAATGTCTGGGTCATACCTCTATATTACCTCCTTTATTATCACTCTTTTCATTGCACTTTCTATTCCCCTCACATTCTAACTAAGTATCTTCATTCTCACTTCTTTCTTAAGTCCCTTCTTCACCTAACCACTACCTTCCCCCCTTTCCTTCTATCCTCTATTACCCCGAACTTCTTGTCACCCTCCACATCTCTTTTCAATCTCTCAGCTTCACCCAATTTTTTCTTCTTTGTTCTAATCTCCTTCCTCTGCATTACCTCCTTTATTATCGCTCTTTTCATCACACTTCCTATTCCCCTCACATTCCAACTAAGTATCTTCATTCTCACTTCTTTCTTAAGTCCCTTCTTCACCTAACCACTACCTTCCCCCCTTTCCTTCTATCCCCTATTACCCCAAACTTCTTGTCACCCTCCACATCTCTTTTCAATCTCTCAGCTTCACCCAATTTTTTCTTCTTTGTTCTAATCTCCTTCCTCTGCAACAGCCTTCTTTCAGCACATTTAGGTCTTCCAATCTACACCCCAACTTCCCCACAAAATCTGCTAACATGTCCTCTTTATTAGGATTCTCCTCCACTTTCCTTTCTACACTATACCCTCCAATTCTCCCCTCCTCTCCTTCCTCTCCACCTGATCCTTCCCCTCTTCTCTCCTCTAAAGTCCCCGTCCATCTCATCTCTTGTTCTACTTCCTTAAAAACATTTTCAATAATTTCCAAAATTCTCTCATTCCTATACCTTCCTTCCAACACCTCCCCACAGTCCTCCCCTCTCCTCTCCCCACCCTTTAAGAGCCCACCACTTTGATTGAAAGCACATATACGGGCTTTTGAGCTTGAGACAGGAACGGAATCTAGAACATAGGACACAGAGAACACATTAGTAGCACAAACTGAATTCAACTAGTTACCTGGGTTTGACTGAGATGATGAGTGGGGGGACACGGGATGTGTCACCGCCCACCCTTACTTGTTCAGAGGGTTGGTCAATGTCTGTCTCCCTGAGTTGGTGGGTAGACCTTTCTGTCCTTTGGACATTCTGGCGATCTGTCCTCTCTCTACCCATTGTTTGTCCCTTATTGTCGTGTTTCCGTTCTGCCTCAGGTTTTCCAGGTTTACCCCTTTTGTTGCATCTTGCACAATCAGAAGCCTTAGGGGCGCACCAATCTGACTAATGTCTTCATTCCCCTTACCAGACTCAGCTCTTCCTCCACCAACTACCGGATTCCTCTGGCCGGCTGGATTCGGTCTCCAATCCTCTTTTGCGTCCTCCTGAAATAAGCTTGTAATGTTCAACCTGCCCAAGTCACCTATTTCGCATTCCCCATAATCCTTCACACTTCCGATGTTGCTGTCCTCATCCCCACTATCCTCCATCTCTTCGTTGTCTGCTCCACAATGTACCCAGCCTTTGTCCCAATCTTCTCTTTCATCATTTCTCTCCCTTGTGTATCTGGGATTTGGTTTCTCTGAGGGGCGCCGCACAGAACAGGGTGCATCATGAGTCCGGTGAGGTACCCACCGGAGTTCACTAGCCGCATTCCGCCCCTGTGTTTTTCTCCTCTCTACAGGCATCAATCTAGACGATGATAGACTGTGGCCTTCGTCTACCGTCGGTCCACGAGCTGGCCCCTTATCCCAACCCACGTGAGGCTTTAAGTTATCACATGGGTCGCTGACTCGTTCCCCCGGTTCACTGTTCAAACTGCCCCTTCCCTTTCCCTTTCCCATGTCTCTGCCCCAACCCACGTGATGCCTTAAGTTATCATGTGGGCCACTTTTAATACCCCCCCCCCCCGGTTTAGCCGCCAGCCCTCCCATGCCATGACTCCGACTGGCTCAGATTGAATAAGGCCGGTTAACTTCTTTGCCACATCAGCATATGATGGGCCGACCACCTTAAATTTCATTTAAAAAATTTTTGAATTATTGCCTTTTTCGATGTGGCCGCCCAAACCCCTTCCAGATCCGACTCTTTCCCTTCCTTAAAGTGTCCCTCCCCCGCTCTTCCCCATCCCCTCCCACTAAGGCTTTGCCACGTAAGCAGCCTTCATCCACGTCACCTTCTTCTTCCTCCTTCGAGCATTCTCTCCACAGCGTCACTTCCACTTCCGTCAAGACCCAGATCTTCCTCCAAAGGCCCTTCGAGAAGCAAGTGACCACCCGTGGAACCTCCTCCGGCTTCAGCCCTCGGATTCTCGCCTTGATCGCTGTCAGGTCCCTGAGGGTACAGTCCACCATTGCACCACCCATCATGTGGACTAATTTTCCAACGAAAGATTTGTTCCAGAGGTTGAATGGCACCCCAAGGAGCTTGATTCCAAAACAAGCAACAGTGATGTCTCGCTCATTACAAGACATACACCATTCTTCAACAACTATCAGACCTTTCGTTTCAACGGCAGAGAGTTCTACCTCCCCCCCCCCCGGTGTCGAGAATGGCTCTGTTTTCGCAGAAAGGTAACACAAGAACAGGATCTCTGTTGCTAAATTTATTCCTTATCTCCTCTGCAACTAGCTGCCAATCCGCGACCTTCCTCCCAGCTATGAACACAAATTTTTTCCTCCAATCCTGCCTGTCCACTTCGAACTCCATTTTGCTCGATTTAACAGAGCACACAATGTATTCCTCCACTACCTTCTGGGTTTTTTGCTCTCCCTTTTCAATCTGAACGTTCTCTCCCACCCCCACCTCTGTTTTCTCAGTTGAGGTTTTTGCTGAACCTTCTCATTCCTCTCCATCACTACCAGATATTCTTGCAACTTATCTGCATAACCCTAACACCCTGTCTTCCTATTTCCTTCCGGAATACACGTACTTCCTGTTACTTTTCCAAAGCTCTCTGTGACTACTACAAACCACCCCTTTCTATTGTTTCTCAGCTCCGCTACATTGTTCGTTCTTCCCCTATTCAACTGCCCTTTCCATCCGACTTGTTTCATGCTATACATAACTGCATCCACGAAACCTTTCAGCCAAAACACTGCATCCCTGCAAAGAAAAATGGTGGTCTTCTTCTCTTCTCTGATCTTCAAGCACTCCTGTCCTTTGTTTCTGCAAGCTTCAAACACGTACTTTTTAGCTTCAACCTCCAGCCTTCTTCTCCATGTAGTCGCCAACCTGAACTCCATGTTTTCCACCCCCCTCTTCTTGAAAACGAATGATAATATAGTAGATCTAGTAAGGGAAGAAGAGACTTAAAAGAGCAAATAAAATATCAACATATTTCTTCTTCCACTACAGACCACAATCATAGATGACTGCTCATGAAGTAGCATGGCCCCTGCACAAGAATGACATGCACAAATCAAGAAATTGTCAAAGGGCGTTACCCAATGTAAGTCCTAGATATCTGGGGTCTTGGGATGGTATATTGGATAGGGACCTAACTTCATATTTGTAAAAAACACCAGTACCAGTTTCCACTATTTTCCTTCAAGAAATTCTTAAAAATCATTAAACTCATTGAATTGAACTTTACTCCAAATATCTCCAAACATAATCCTCTATTAAAATCTACGACTTATTCATTACATGGATATCATTGATGGGACCACCAGCTGACTTCATAGGCTGTATAGACGACTTTAGTAAGCCTTTCTAATAGCATGGCCCTGGAACCAGCACTCTGATGCAAAATGATTTGGATCTTCTCATGAGAGAGACATCTAAGCCTTGTCCCAACTGTATGGGGTTGGCTACATGAATCCTGTTTCACCATTCTGTTTCTGTTCAGTGCCATATCCTTTGTTGGATGGATGTTCATTTCTACAAACACAATAATTTGATTGTCCTGTTAGGAAAGGGGTGATCAGGTTGTTTCTGAGGGAGTTGTTCCCATCTTTACCTTATGTACTGGCTTATCATTTTTTTACAAATTGCCTGTTATCCATAAGAAAAGACAAATAACCTAACAAATATTAAGACAGTTACAATTTTGCAATTTTATTGTGGTTGGGTGTGTTTTTTTGTCATACAGTGTTATAACCTTCTTTTTTTTTCACTTTGTTTTACTTGCTATCACACAAATACCTTTTTTTCTGATTTGCTACTGCTTTCTTTTCTTTGTAGGTTTTTTCAATGCTTCCAGGATTTAGTTCCGAGTTAATGCCAAAAGGTCGTGAAAAGGAAAGCCAAGCAAAGATCAAGCGCTACATGACTATGATGGATTCCATGACAAATGAAGGTACAAAATATGGTTTATAACATACTACCGGTAAAATTAGAGGGGCTATTCTTTCGTCCATGAAGAAATTGGGTGACAATTAGGGCTGCTTAATTATGTAAATAACCTCTCCCCTCCCCCTTCAAAAAAAATAAATAGGAGAGAAAAAACACCAAGACTACTTCCATCCCTAATTGAGTTGGGGTAGAGTTCAGGTTATGGTGTATGCAACAGCTAAATTTCCATGGCTATAGAAAGTTGATATTGTTTTACATTTTTCCTATTATTTATTTTATGTATCATCTTTCTTGTCTCAGCTTTTTCCACCTACCTACATCGCCCCACTTCCTGCCCCTCACCATGACTTGCTCTATTCACATGTAAACCTATTCATGGGCCGGGCCGGGCGCGGGCCGGGCTTTTACTCTTCATTAATGGAAATATGTTAGGCCCGAGCCCGAGCCTAGCCCGACCAACGGGTCTACAACTTGGGCCCGAGCCCGGCCCCGATAAAAAGGTCGAAGCCCGAGACCGAGCCCGGCCTGACCAATGGGCCTACAACTTGGGCCCAATCCCGGCCCTGATAAAAAGGTCGAAGCCCGAGCCCGAAGCCCGACCTAATAAAATAAATTAGAATTTTCCCTATTCAATAATCAATATAAATTAGAATTTATTTATATTAAAAAAAGAATATAAATTCAAAATTTATTTACATTAAAAAAAGAATATAAAGAAGGGAAAAAGGATATGGAGAAGAAGGGTTCGGCTGGAAAAATAAGGGAAAGAGGTGAAAAAAAGAGGGGCATTCGACTAGGGTTTTTAGGTTTAATTATAGGTCGGGTCGGGCCGGGCTATTTTGGCAAATCCCGAGCCCGGCTCGAATTTATTGCGGGCTGGGCTTTTTGGCCCGAGGTTAAGCCCGCAGGCCCATATACCTGTTCAAGCCCGTCCGGGGGCCGGGCCGGGCCTGGTTGGGGTTTGAGTGAAGTTGGGTTGGGCTGGTATTGTGCAGAAGCCAGTCCTTAAAATTCTTTTCAAGATGGATGTCTTTAGCCATTGGTGATCAAGCCTTTCCAATTAATATTGATAATTCCAACTTTTTCATTTTTTATTTGCAAAACAATAAAAAGATAATTGTGAAATACCATTTCCATGGGAATTTTACCTTAAGAAATAATATATGAAAAATTCTTACAAGAATTAAAAAGCAAATTTCAGGTTATCAATTGCTATATGTTAGCCAGAACTCTAGGCCTAAGCATGACCTATATGTTGAATTCAACCGATGTCCCAGGCTTCAGTGTCTGTCAGGCCAGCATTCTAGCAACAGCTTCTAGTCTGATTTTCCCATCCCTCCCTTTCTTAACTGTTCTTCCCCCAGGGGCCAATTTTTCTTTCTTAATTTTGCAGAGTTGGATAGTAATAACCCGAAGCTTATGAACGAGTCTCGGATGATGCGGATAGCACGAGGTGCTGGTCGCCCTGTTAGAGAAGTGATGGAGATGTTAGACGAATATAAGCGCCTTGCCAAGATTTGGAGCAAAATGAAAGGGCTCAAGATTCCAAAGAAGGGTGAAATGAGTGCATTATCTCGAAATATGAATGCACAGCACATGAGTAAAGTCCTTCCACCACAAATGTTGAAGCAAATAGGTGGTATGGGTGGCCTACAAAATTTGATGAAACAAATGGGTTCTTCAAAAGACATGATGGGGATGTTTGGTGGGGGGGACAAGTAATACCAGCAATTTGTATGTTTAGTTGCATGAAATTTCTTGAGAGGGATAAGCTTTGTGCAGGATTAAAGGCATTTTTATAGGTCAATTGTATTATCAACCATAGATGCCGATTAACATTTGAGGGGTCCTTGGACCGAGGTCTGTGACGGCTTCGCATCTGTAATGAATGGTTTTATCATGGACTTTGTAAAGGGATTAGATTAAATGATTCACACACAAATCAATCTTTTCAATTCTTTGCTTATAATCATTGTTTATGAAATCATGTAACATTACGTCTGTAATGAATGACTGCGTTTGACTGTGGACTAGCCATTTTGTAAAGGATGTGTCCGGAGGTCCATATGGATTGGGCTAGATTACAGCCTGGAACAAAGTGAAGAATATCCCCATCCTCGTTATTACATATTTGGAAAATAGTATAATTGGGAATATTAGGGGTGCAAGCAGATCAGATCAGATCCAGTTACTCCCGCATTCAATCCGATAATTAAACCCTTAGATCAAGATTCAATATGAAATTCAATATATCGGACTCCGATCAATTTGGACTTGAATTTATTTTTCAAATCAGGCCCCGTACAGTTATAAACTTTTAATCCAATCCGATTATATATAATATATAGGCTCATAGTTTTCATGAAGGATAAAAACATGAGCTAATTTAACATACCTGGACCTCTTTAAGTACCCTTAAATTTTCTGACAATTCTTAATGTGTATTGATTAACCAACCCAGACCTGATCTAGTTCTAAACCCAACCCAAATGCACCAAATTTTAGTGTAGGATGAGTTCGGGTTGGATAGTTCAAACTCAGGCTCAACTTTTGGGCCTATAGGCCTAGGTTGAACTAAAACCTGTCTCAGCCAGCCCAACTTAGCACCCCTATTTTTGAGCTTTTTGCTTTTCACCGAAGGAATTTGACTGGCTTTTTTACCATCCCCAACGTGAAAAGCGCAAAAAAGCCCGTTGGGAAAGCACTCTCAAACACAGCCTTGAGAGTTTAATTTGACATGGTGGATGAATGCTTGCAACCAATTGTCGACCCAGCCGGTTAAACCAATCAACCCGTCACTCAGATGAGATGGCAGTTTCATTTCATCCAGAGGGGCCGAAACCCATTAAGCATGAAAATTCTATTGACCGGCCTGATGACAACCATCGACAACACACCACACCATTTCATTTGATCACTATTTGAATGCTTTATTTTGGTTTTTGACAGATCAACTTGTGAAATATCACATATGGGATGAATGCCCAATGTTCCATTCCATTCTCTGTAAAGGCTTGTTGTGCCAATATTAGGGTACAGTACTCGTATAATTTACAGAAGCAATTAACCGAGGGAGAGTAAAAACAGAAATAAATCTACACGTGTACATTTTGAAAACAAGTGGTACAAATACCAAGCTCTGGTGCTTTTGCAAGGCCCCTGGGAGGGAAAATTGATCTTTATTTCATCTGGCTCTGACCTCAATATTTCCATTGCTGATTCCAAGTTCAGCAAATGATCCTTGACTGCCTATGGAAGATAGTTTTCGGTGTCTTGATACCAGCATTATTTCCTTGCACCTTCTGCAAACATGTAGCAAGATTAAGATCTGAAGCAGCAAATATCAGCACTTGGAGATCCCACACATACACTCACTGGCTGATTAATATGATATTATATGGAGAAGTCTCTTGCTGTGTCAAACACATCTCCATGCAAACTTTCAGTGATCATACGACCCAGCAGAAGGATTACTTGAGTTCTGGTCACACTGACCATTTCTCCAAGCAATCCCTCCATCAGAGCTGCTGCAGGCCTGAATTGGAAGGACACCGGTTCCAAAATCTCCATCCAAGCTCATCTGCCGAACTTCTTGAGGGGATAATATCTTGATGCACCTAACACAATTCACAAACTCCCTGAAAATGCACCACAAATCAATATTATATTCTTACCAGCTAAAACTCCGTAAGAAATAGCATCAAAGACAATTGTAGAAAGCAAGTAATAATGAAGTTAAATATGGTCATAGACACTATGAACAAGCGCCCCCCCCCCCAAAAAAAAACAAAAAGAAGGCTAAGAAATCTGAGGGGTAAAAGATAACCAAGGACTTACTCCCAAGGGTCATCACCCACTAGTAAGACATCATTCTCATGGTCCACATATACAAGCTTCCATCCTATTCTTTGTTGATCCTCAAGCTGCCCCTCTATTCCAAATCTACGTGCCAAATCTTGTTTGAGCTCATCATAGCCAGAATAACGAGTTATATCAATGGATCTGCCAACGGCTCCCCGCTTGTATACCTTCACATAAAAGACAATTTTGTAAAGCTCCTGGAGAATAAAAGAAAAATAAAATTCTATGTATTATAAGTCCTAGCTGAAAAAGAAAAAAAAACCTTTGTGAATGTCCGCATTCGCTGAAATTGGGGGGTTGGTGGAGTCCACGTGCCTCTTCCCAAGAAGCCACTATCATTGATGGTAGAATCGATTGAATTAAATGCCATGTCTGGTACCCCAAATGACTGAGAAACAACTGAGGAAAGTTGCTGTTGAGTCTCCTTTGAATTTCCATGATTTGCAAGCATGCCACCTGAAGAAAGATTGTTCAAAAAATCATTTCCTGATCCAACTCCCTTTGCCAGCAATGGATCAGGAGTCGAAGGTATCCCAAGAGGACCATCAATGTTAACCCCAAAAAGTGTGTTATTTCTAGGATCAGTCTGCACTTCCTCATCCTGACTTGCGTCTTTGAACAACATTGATTGTTGATCGAAAGAGGACAACGGAAAGTTCTGTGAAGGCCCATCAGTCTGGGAAAGGCAAACTGAAGTTGCTGATGATGTGTCCAAACAATCCATTTGGGACGTTGCATTTAAACATGTTTGTGGGGTAACAGCCCCTTGAGTCTGACTCTTAGAAATGGGAATTGAAGGTTTAACAACATATTTCTGTTGCAAATCTTTCGCCAAGTTTGGGCCAGATGACATGGCTTCCAATGTTTTAGGACTCGAAGGCATCACTGTGGACTGAGACATCTCCTCTGTCAATGACGTGCTACGGTAAGCCCTACTGCTTAGAATGGGCTGGGCTACATTAAGACAGTTGTTTGTGGAAAGAGAGGTGGAACAAGAAGGAAGCTCATCAGTTATCCCTGACTGTGCCCCTCCAGTAGCTGTCAATATATTGCTGCCTGTGGTTAAAAGCATATTTGTTGTCAGTGCTGGAGGAAGAGGAAGCTGCTGCTGAAGCTTTTGCTGTGCCTGATGCTGCTGCTGTGCTGGATGAGAGAACTGGATACATGGCTGGGCGTTATTATTTGTTATATGCTGAGGGATCATGTTCTGCTGAGCAAATGAGTTGGGATTAGATAAAGTTTGAGGAACTTCCGAGAATTGCTTATGCTGCTCATGGAGTTGAATTAGTTGTGGTGTCTGTTGCTGTGTAGACTGCTGCAACAAGAGTGACTGTTGTTTCTGCTGAAGCTTTTGTAACAGTTGTGACTGGATTTGATGTTCTGACATCTGTAACTGTTGATTCACTTGATGAGGGAGCTGAACTGGCATACGGTTTTGTTGTTGGATTTGACCATTAACTTGTTGCTGTTGTTGTTGGTATTGTTGTTGTTGTTTCTGCTGCTGCTGTTGCTGTTGTATCTGTAGTTGCTGCAAATGCTGCTGCTGCTGCTGTTGTTGCTGTTGTATCTGTAGTTGTTGCAATTGCTGCTGCTGCTGTAGTTGCTGTTGTATCTGTAGTTGCTGCAATTGCTGCTGCTGTGGGATCTGAGGAAGGTTACCAGGGAGTTGATGGTTCTCGATAAGCGCTTTCTGTTGATGAACAAGGGGAGATTGCATTAAAACTTGAGACTGTAACAATTGCGCCTTGGCTTGGTTTGAAGGAAGTGTTTGATTAATTAAATTCTGTCTGGGTTGCTGGCTAATGTCATCCAACTGTTGCTGTGGCTGCATGACGGAGCCTAATTGGTTCAATGAAGTTGGTAATTTTGTTATCTGTTCAAGCTGTTGTATTTGCTGAGGTGGCCTCTGTATATTGAAGTTTGGGTTGTTTGGCTGCAAGACCTGTGGTCCCTGTAAGCCTAACTGACGGGAAATATCTGTAGCAGCTAGGTTCTGCAGAACTGGTCCAGCCAGAGAACGCAAGTAATCCGATTGCAAGGTTGAGTTGCCAAGAGAAGGATTGTTCTGCATATTCATCCACTGCACCAAGCTCAGGCCAGGTAACACAGCATTCTGAGTATGAGAATCCTTTATGCAGATATCATCACCAAGCCAAGGCATTGTCCGCTTGAAAAGGTTATCCAAATCAGAATATTCATCATCTGTGAAACCATCAGAAAGATGGTTGGTTAGGTATCCACTAAAAAGTATACAAACGTGAAAATTAGACTACATTACGAGGTAACCTTCTATCCAGCAGTTTGAAGTTAGAAAGGACAAGAAAAACCACAAGGCATGACAATAAAGGTTCCAGTATGCCTCCCTTGTGTCCAGCACCTATAAGAGGTTTAGACTCCATTATTTAAGAAGTCCCATTATAAGTCAAAATTTGATCCAGGACAATGGACATAATATGCAGAGTTCGAGAGTTTTTTCCAGTTTTGATGAAGCTGATATTTATTATAAAAAAAAAAAAAAAAAAAAAACTGCCAAAGAATTATTGGCCATTAGCCATGCTTGCAAATCACAAATAATGAACCTGGCATTCCTGGTTGCCTTGGGCGCTTAGATCTGAAGAAAGGAGGTGGGCAAATGAAAAATGGAGCTGCCACTGGTTCAATCTCCCATATTGAGACCCTGTTACGCCTTTCCCCAGCTGTGGACTCATCCCAGCCAACCTATTAAAATGGTATAGAAATAATGATCATGATACAGCCCACCTTATATAACAACATTGATGATTATAATTAGGTTCTACAATACATATGGGAACAATTATTATACGTCTATACCTGCAGATTATGCCATTGTGAGTTTTTCCACCTTACAGGATCAAGATCACTAATGCCTGTAATTGTCCCCACATACCTGCAAGTTAAATACTTAGTATCCTTCTATGGTGTAAAAGTGCTTTTACATTTTTCTTTGATCAAGACTCAGCTTGAGTTAGGAGATAGGTGACTAGGCACCCGCCTAGGCAACAAAATGATAAGGCAGGTTCCTTATTATAATATTATTTATATTGCTGCATCTTATTAATATGTGTGTGAATACATTCTATTATTTACTAAATATCATTTAAACTTTGTTTTAATGATGTATTCTCTCTCTCTCTGCATCCTTTTTTTTTTCTAATTTACTTTCCATCTTGATGAATTTTAATATATGAAGTTATAACCTTCTGTAGTTGCTAATTGATATAAAATTGCTCCATTAAATACTTATAATAGTAGTATTGCTTTTGAAAATAATGAAATTAATATATTTAAAAGATTTTTATCATTTAGATATGATGATTTGCCACATTTTTAGAGGAAAATTACTATGTTTAATAAAGAAATTTGCTATTTTTAAATTAATATGCATGATGAATGGTATTTAAAACTAGGGAACTAGCCAAAAGTTAGTTCTTTATATTATAAAATTCTTTATCACCTGGGCGACTAGACACCCCAGTGTTGCCCAGAATCGCCTAGACACCTTGACAACTATGCTACAAACCAAGCTTTTCAATTTTGAAATAAAAGAAAGAAAGAAACAGAATAATTTAGCAAATGATTGATATAACAGTTACAGTACTATCTATGAGGATATAGATCACTTATAACAACCTTCTCGTTCCTAACTCTTCAGTTTCAAACATCATCCGGAACCGCATACCAAGGGATATTTGGTTACTGTATACTGCCTTGTAGTACTTGGCTAAAGGAATGACAAATTCTGAAGGGCTAGCCCTGCATAATGAAGAGTTTTTCAGAAAGTCCATTCTGAAACAAGATCTACAGTTTAGGACTACATGAAATGAAACTACTCTAACCGACTTGATTTCAAAATTCAATAAATTTCACAAAAGAACAAAGCTTGAGATTAGAAACTAAACTTAATAATAAAGATAAACAGTCCAAATAAAAGCCAATTACCTTGGATTATAGAACACTGTGAAGGGGCTGTGGTTTGCAGCTGCATGGGCTGCTGCTGCTAGGATGCCAATATGCATACTATCACTTGATAAGACTGATGATGAAATATTTGTGGGTTGTCTGTTAACCCGCCTTATACCCAAGAGGAGCTGCTGCTTTTCATCTCTGCACAACCACAAGACAGAATATGTCACTTAGAAAAATTGGATGGCTCTAAAGCAAGTAGATTGAACCAGAACAATATGACCACAAGATTTATAAAGGATATTATTTACAAAAAAAAAGGATCAATAAAAAATTAAAGGTGGGAGCCTCGTGCACTGGGCTGCCCTTTTTTAATAAAAACATGACAGGGCCTACTTCCAAACATTCATTAAATTGTATCATTACCTAATGAATAAGACGGAATCCCCAGAAAGAAGCCTCTTTCCACTAACAAATAAGCTCCAACCTGTTGTAAGTAGGTGCCTTTTAGGCTGACCTGTATGATGAACAGAAACAGGATTTATTACTCAGATTTTAGAAGAAAAAAATACAAGTATCGTGCAAATGGACACTAGATTGAATAAAATCTTCACGCCCGCAAAAGTGAAGAGTTGCTTACCTCGATAGATATGGCGGAAGGTCCATACATTATCATGCAAATCTCTGGCCACCAGTTCTTGAGCAGGTGGCTGCTGTGAGAAATCCTATAAACAGGAAAAAGAAAAACTGTAAAACCACCAAAAAAAACCATAAATTCTAATGTAGAAAATGCTTCAGAAATGGAAAACTTCCTACAAGATGGGGGAATATTTTCTCTGCTGCACGGCGGGGCACGGAGAAACCTCCATGAGTGCTTGTGTCGCTTGCAGTCAATGTTTTACAGAAAAATTCTGTTTGTGGTCTAGTTGATTTGAGTGCAAGATCTGATTGCAGTAATGCCTCCTTGTCAAACTGCATGAAAATTTAATGGATTCAGAAAACAGAACTTCAGAGAGGAACTTCTAGCTAGAATTTCTCGCCTACACAACATGCAAAGCATGTCTTTGAGAGTTGAGAGTGAGATTTTGATGTACTGCCATCTTAATTTGGCTATAATCCCAAAATGCCTATTCAAATAAGGTGGCAACTATATTCCCTATATGCACCCAAGGCATGTTAAAATGAGGAACAAAAACATCCCCTTTACTAATGGAAAATACTTTATTAGTTACTTGTTAATTACACATATGCAAGTAGATGCTCATAATTTGGATGGATAAATAGATAGATAGATGAATAATAATCCTTACCGTAGAAACTGGCTGAAGTGTCATTTGAGCATAAACTTCATCTGTTTCAGTATCCGCCTTAAAAGTTAAAAAAAAAATAATAATTATTATTAAATGAGATTTGAATATATTTGCCATCATTTTAGCATAGAAAACTTGTTTGCAGAGAAAAAATAAGAAAAGGATAGCCAAATCTATACATGTAGTGTAACATTGTGAAGGAGGCAGATTAGTTTTGATGGAAGATTAGGGTAATTAGGGATGTGAGCATCTACATCCTTCTGCATAGATGCTGCCACCTGAAAACAGAATAAGTTCCCTATGAATGTAATGATAGTAAATCAATAGAAGACAAAACTACAAATTTCAGTTCCAACCATAGGAACACTCAAGCTGACCTATGGTATTTTGTGCAATGATGCTAAAGCAATAGAAGACAAAACTAGAAATTTCATTTCCAACAATAGACACACTCAAGCTTACCCATGGTGTATTGGTGTGTTTGGAGTAGAGCTCAAGAATTTAAATTCACCAAGAACAATATTTTCATTTCATTGCAATTTCACTAAAAATTAACAGAAATCAAAAGTAATATTTGAACACCAAGAAATTAAACAAAGGAAGTGATATTTTCAACAAATTTTTATCCCAAAATAAGTTTAGTAACAAGCTGTACTTTTATCAATAACAAGCTGCTGTAATTTGTGAATACAATACTTATCAATGATATCATGAACATATAAGTGATTCTTTATAAAGGGCATTCAAAATAAAACTATAAAAGGACTATATATTGTTCCAAAATCATTAATTGCTTTTTATGAAAACCCGTACCTTATAACAATTTATAAACATTAATAACTTTCGCCATTTACTAACAAGATAAAAACCAAAACGGTTCTTGAAATCCTTGGTTAGACTTTATCTTTCCACAGCAACTATGTTCAGTAAAAGCATCTTTAACAATCAAGAAAAGACTGCATTGATGGAATGATCATTTGCCCAGTGATAAACATTAAACTGAAAATGGCTTTGACAAAAGTTCAATGAGTAAAACAAAGCAAATAATCAGAAAACAAGTGGATAATAATAAGAACACTAAGCAACCCATGAAATAAAATTATGAAAACAAGAAAGATTTTGACAAACAAGAAGAAGAACCAATAAAAAATATGAAAAAAAAATAAAGAAAAAACAAATGCTATGGAATAATTCAATTTTCGAAAAACAGAAGAAAAAGATTTCCGGAAGCAAATGTAGTAAAAAAGAATTATAAAGATATGTAGAAAACAACCTAAAAATAAATAATCATCAAATTGTCAAACAAAGGACAAAGGAAAATTGCTAATGCATTTTTGTTTCTCTACTCTTTTTTCCACCGTGTCATTCAATCTGCAGCACATTCTCTTTTGGTAAAGCAAGCTACAGATGACCATGTATAGAGGAGGGCGAGGATTATCACCAGAAGGCCGCATGGTAGTGGAGACCCTAACGCACCTGTTCGCTGTGGCCTTGTGGGAAATAAACGACGTAGCTACCGACCGGCGGCATGGTGACCAGAGGTCCGGCGCACGCGTGCCATAGTTCAGAGTTGATGTTTTTTCTCTCTCCTGCAATGACACGTGCCACAATCTCATTGGTAATGGAATTCTCGGGAAATAATCAACCTCTTTTTTTTCTCGAAAATGCCGGAAAAGGCTGGGAAGAAATATAAAACAAGCATTTTTCCGGAGTTAAAATAATAACCTTCGCACGCATTTGCCGTTGACACAGCACTGTTCGCCAGCGCCTTCATTGTACAGGATCCGGCAATTTCTTCCACACGCTTCGCCGGGAAAGTTGGGAAGGGAAGAAGCTTCAAGTCGTCATTTCACCAGAAGAGAAACGATTTCGGATTTCAGCCGGATACTTGTCCATGATGCTCTTTTTCACTGAAGAAACAACCGGCAATCCAAACTTGCAACAACCTACCGTATTTGTTAATAGCCGAAGATGAATCAGAAATACAAAAAGAAAGATTGGAAGAATGAGAGAAACCGAAAGATCAAGCCAGTCCAAGCCCCCAGCTCAACTTGCTTTGAAACAAGGACTAATGTCAAAGATTTCCTATCAAGCGATCTCCAAAGCCCGGAATATATCAAAATCGAAATTGATTCATCCGCTGAAGCTCGAAGTTTCAGAACCCAAGTGAAAAGAAATAGAACAAATAGAAAGAAAGAAAGTTATGCTCTCCTTCCCTCCCTCCCTCCCTCCCTCCCTCTCTCTCTCTCTCTCTCTCTCTNCTCTCTCTCTCTCTCTCTCTCTCTCAAATTGAAGAACAAAGAGCTTTAATTTGTGACATCCGCTGTGTTATTTTTCCGGCGAAGTCGCCGGAGAAACGAAGAAAAACGAAGTTATTAGAGAGGAGAGGCTACTGAGTGGTCGGTGGTGGCAGAGAGGGTGACCGGAAAAGTCGCCGACAAGGGAAAGACCGAAGGAGCTTAAAAAAAGGAGGGTTTGCTGAGTTCTTGGCAGACCAAATGCTTCAGCTCTGCCCCCTCAGTCGCCCTACATTTCACAGGCAATTTCCCCTTTTTTTTGTTTTCACCTCTCTGACATCTCCAGACAAACTCCACTCAAAAGACTTCTCAATTACTGCACGCTTTCAATAACAACTCTCAGCTTTGGTTCCACTAATAAATAATAAAATAATTTTCCTATACTCCCAATTTACCCCTCCCTCTATCCATTTCCAGGAACGAGAATCACGGTTTCACGGAGGAGAGGGAGAGAGATCAGCTAATAGCTATTAACCATTCTGGCATTCTCTAACCCAAATGACCCGTTGAAACCTGTGTGCAATATTATTTGAACTAGTACAAATGTACTTTGTACTAGTAGGGTGCAAATGAAAAGAATGTATATTCTGGTAATTTTGTTTTGCATTTTACTTTATTCAGCCTTGGTCTTATTTTACTTGATTGGTACTGAAATCAAATAAAATAAGATAAATTTTGAAATAAGAATAAATGAGAATTTGCTAACCAAATCATTTGTACTATCATAGTTTTGCATCGATTCAACAATGAAATGCATTTATTTACAAACTTTTATCTTTTCTTCTTATTAAATCTTTACAAGGTTATTTATGATAATTTTAATTGGGTTTGGGTGTTTCTTCATATTTGCCAATGTTTAGAACAAGACCGTGCAAAGACTAGAAAAGAGAAAAGCTCATGGTTAGAGGTTTAATCAAAGTTGAATTGAAGGTCAAATCATGATGATGTGACATAATATGAGTCATATAATATATTTTACAAATTTTATCATGATAAAATATAGTATATGAATGGCAAGTTACTTAATTTTTAAGGTTTAAGTCATTTAGTTTACATTTTCTTTAAAATACATGTATAATAAAATAAGATATAGAATAGAGAGCCATTAATTAATACAAATAAAGAAGTGAACTAATGGTAATGAAAGAATACATTAAAACAAGAGGTCATGGATTCAACTTGTTGATCCTATATGCTTTGATGATGACAAATTCATTAAGAGTACTAGTGGTGTAACTAAGTGTACATCAAATTTATGGTGAGTTTTTTTATCCAAAAATATATCAAAGCTAGAATGCTATAAAAGATGAAGTGTAAGCTTTGCTAAGTTAGTTGCATGTGTTTTAGAGATATTTGCACCATCATCTTTCTAAACTGGTAAAACTTCAAGCAATTCAAGCATCAAGGTTATTGATGGACTTAATGGTTTTGGAGTTGCTCAAAGACGATATGCTACAGCATTTCATAAAGTAGAAGACTATATCAAGTGATACTTAAATTGTATTTATCTTTTTAGGATCTTGGTGCAATTAATCGTATGATGCACTATATAGATGCTCAATAAGATAGAACTCAATACAATCAACTTTAGAAACCATAAACTTTAACGGGTTTGGTTTCTAGGCTTTCTTGAAAACCAATGGAAAAGTTTATAAACCTTAGGACAAAAATCTCCAAAGTTTCTGAGTGTTTGGCTATCTATTAGGCAAGTTTATCCTAACTTTGAGAAATAAACTAGATAACATAGTTGACTAACTATGACAACCAAGGTATGAAATGTCAGGACTGTAAAGAATAAATAGTCAACTACCCTAAAAAGTATAGTCAACTAACTATGATAGTCGAGGCATAAAATATGCCATGTTTGAGATGATTAGTTGACTACGTAAAAAAGCATAGTTGACTAACTCAAGCAGATTGAATTCATGTATTGCAAGTTGATTAATATAGAGGAACCGATTGACCAAGAGAGGAAAAAAAAGATTCGTTCCTTCGTTAAAATGATCGATTAACAAGAATTAGTAGTCAACTACTTCAAAGAAATTTGACCGTTTGAAGGCTCTAGCGATTACTATCTTCTTTAGAAAGCCTTTTAACATGTTGGGAAAATTTTGAATCATTAATAAACGAAGAAAAATCCTCCAACGGTTAGAAAATAGTCACTTGCTCCCAAATCCTTTATAAATAGAGGAAATCAGCTTGATTCAAAGATAAGTGAAAAGAAAGCAAGAGATTTGAATAAAGGCTTGTGAAAAACATGTGCATTTCTTATACATATTGTATATAGTTGTTTTTCAAAGAAAGCAAGCCAGGCTAAAGTCATTTTGTTGAAGAGACTTTTGAGCTTCAAGAATGTTAGAGGTCAACAAAGTTGAGAAGCTACTAAGCTTGTACCATCTCACCCATCTATTGGGATACTCTTCATTGAGTTGAGCATCTATTGAGTACTCTAGCAATTAAGTTATAGTTTGTGCTTGTATTGTTTATATTTACCTTTTAAGAGGTTTCCCTTGCTTGTAAGCCTACTCCTATGCTAAAAAATGAAATATCTTTGAGCAAGTAGAACAACATTAAGGTCTTGTTGGTATGTCTGTCATGCCCAACTATAAGGTCTTATAGGCACCCGAAAGCCCTACTGATTCAAGTTGGGTTGGTATTATAATAAAGTCCAATCAGTTCAGGTATTCGCAAGCACCCATAAAATCGTATTGGTTGTAAAGGCTTGGATGGCACCTAGGAAGTTTGGTTGATAAGTGTAAATCCTCAATGGTGATCTAAGGTAGATGATGTAGGCAAGATTGGTCAAACCTCTATAAAAATCTAGTGTGCATTGTATATTTACTTTTCTTTCAAGTTTTGTAATTTGTTTTTCTTTGCTAACATTCTCATAACTATAATAACTTGATCCCTTGAGATCATGTATATCTTGTTTTATTTTGTTTGCTTTTGTTATCTACAAGATATATGATCATTTAGTGTAGTTATTAAGCTATTAACTTACACTATTTATTGTATCAACTCTCTGATTTAACAATTTTGGGGCTTTATTGCGTATTAACTTTTCCCATTGCTAACCATTACTCTAACTACTTTACATTTACTTTTATTGTTGCTTATATTTATTGTTTATTTATTATTCAACAATATTTATATTTCTATAATTAGATTTGTCCTTAAGATTCTGGTAAAAACTAACCATTACTTGAGTCTTAAGTTGATTATATTTGGATAGCCAGTCCTTATCTCAACTACTATGTTGTAGTATATCCTTCTTTCTACTACTTCTAGTGGCTGGGCTTTCTCCCTCTCCAACTACTTAGTCACATACCACCATTTGCAACTACCATTTAAATTTATTATTCATTTACTTTCAACTATTCATTTTACTTTCTACAATTATTTACATTCGGCACTTATATTCATTTGTTTAACTGTAGAATCACTAATTAGATAGTAGGCTATAGATTTATTTGTTCTATTTATTTATCAGCAATTATCATATTCTTGTTAGTAGGTTCTTATTTATTGAGTGCTAACCCCTATAACTCCTACTATTACATTGTTTGTTTGTTTTGTAGCTATAGTTGCTTCTATTCAGTAGTTAGGTTAATCAAAGAGTAACATTTTGATTAACTATCGAACGAAACTGATTAATCCTCCATTCTATTGCATCTTAATTTTCATTGTCAAGAAGGTTTAGCTTCGGTGTAAGGGGAAGAGTTTTGAGCTTGATTGATTTACATTTAAAAATTCAAATTTGAATTCAAAGATTAATTTTTTAAATCTCAACCCAATTCACCCCTCTTGGGTAAGACCATCGATCCTAACACAATTTGTTATATGCATTCTAAAATTTCATTTATTTAATGACTCGGGCAGTTTCATATTCACTGGTTTTCTAGTTAAATTGGAAGGTTAACGGGTTTTTAGCAATTCCGATTCTTGTGGCGTAAACAAACATGTCAAGGCCCCAAGTTATGGTTCAACCGGTCTGATCAATTGGTACGATTTAGTTTCCTAAACATGATTTTTTTTTTATAGAAAAAAATAAAATTATCAAAAATTCAAAATATCATTGATAAAATGACTTAAAACTTATGTGGACAATGAGATGAAAAATCAAGAGAAGGCTTACATATGTAACAAAAACTAAAAAAAGAACAAAGGAAAACCAACATAAACCGATAAAGAGAAAAAGAAATTATACAAGAACTTAAATCAGACGACATCATATCATTCGTAATCAAGTGAAAATGGAAAGATAGATTCATGCAGTTGATCCAAAATAGTTGGGACTTGGGAACAAGGGTTTGTTGAGTTTATCATTAATAAAATGAATTAAATAAAAAACAAAACAACTTGCATGGAATATGCTATTTCAATGGAAAAATGTAGTAATTATTCAACTTAGCCTTTCTTCGATGGAAAAATGGAATTTATCTGCATAATATGATCAAAATTAGATGAAATCAAAATGAATTATTGGATTCAAGGTATTGATATGTATTGGTGCATATAACACACGGCAAATTTTGAACCCACTAATATGCTAAATGCCACAAGTTAGGACTGATATTCACCCTTTTTACATTTTAATTTTATTTTTTATTTTTTATTTATTTTATAATAATTAGGGAATTGGAAAGAAAATAGGACCTATGTATTGTATTGGTATTGATATTTTAAATCTTGATTTGACATCTAACCACATTTAAAAATTAATACTTTGTGTTTTGTGCATATCCATATTTTGAACCTTTAATTGTTTGGATTTATATATTTATTGATCAAAGATACTTGAGATTCGTGTCCTACTAATTAAGATTGATTTTTGGACCTGGAGTTGACACCTTTTGATGGGTAGACAAATATAAATATAGATATGTGCATTTACCTAATATGTTATTTATGTATACAT